GAAATAAGCATCTGTAAAGACGATCTAAATGCAGCTTGTAGACAATCCACAGTATGTCCCTTATGAATTGCCAGGAGATCCTTCAGGCGCTGTTTGGCGACGGGGGGAGGCATTTTGCACTTTTGCTACTTCCCATCGACGTGTCGACCCATCTAGACAGCCTCTTCTCGAGTTGACAGGTTTTACCATGATGGCTTGACGAGCTTGCTCCAGCTTCACAAGAGTTCACAGGTTTCACCAGAGTGAGACTTGTAAACCAGAACTAGTGAAGCAACGAAAGTGCAAAATGCCCCCCCCCCGTCGCAAACTGCGCCCAGCACTTTCTACTAGTGCCCTCCATACTAGGTGGCTCGTCTCACGCATTTCGCCTTTTCACAAAGAGAAAAGGCTTACCCACCCCTGAAAACACCGCTAATGTTGGAGGCTAGTGTTGCGCCGACGCAAGAAGACAGACTGACACCTGCCCCTCCCGAGGCACATTGCGCCAGTGCTGTTCGGCTTAGGGTAGCATTTTGCGTTCCTATGGTTACTTTATGTCCACTACCTGTACTTGTGAAGCTGCGAAGAGGGTACAAGTGAGCGGTTTTTACAGGAAACTACAAGTTTTCACATGTAGCGTATACAAGCTTAGCTGGGTACTACTAGGTGCCCCCTCCAACTCGAACAGTGCCACTGTGCCCCCGTCGCTTCATCTGACGTAGTGTTCCACTATGGATAGCCCGCTATAATGGTGCTCATTCCGCAGCAACCCTCTTTCAGCGGCTTTATTCTTCAACGGTGATTGCACTCAAAGAATTTTGTACTAGCAGAGATGGCACTCATCGAGAACAGCCGTTTCTTGGGCTTGTAAAGGGTAAGGTCAGTGCACGACTCACTCTTGGTAGCAGTTTACACAGTAGACGTTGTCCTTGGGATCCGATGTGAATGGAATTCCATCCAGTGATCGATTGCAGCTTTCACAAGTGAAACAATTCACATGCCATACACCACCATGAGCTCGTAACAGTCGATCGGTAATCTTCTGCTGGCATTTGCTGCAATTCTCGAGCGTATCCTGAAAAAGATATAGTTGAAATTTGATTACTGTAGGACTTCAGGACAGGGCCTTCTAAAGGAGAATGAACTAGGGTTAAATAGAAATGGAGTGAAGTTCTTGTTGATCACCCTCGTTTCTGCCTGCGCTCTGCTATGCGGCCGAGAATGGAGTGGATAGTACATCCACATTAAGAGCTTTGACTCTGGGCACAGAGCGTTCGAACGCTGTCTTCTAAGGTTCTAACCGGTACACGCCATATCGAGCTGGACTGCGTAGCTCCGACCTACGCAGCATGTGCCGCCTACGCGATCCGCTGGAGTAACGAAAGCAGGACTGCGATGGGCCGGTCATATCATGAGGAGGAGCGATGACAGATGGACAAAGAG